TAATACAGACATTTGCCTGATTTTAGAAAAGTATTTACAATTGTAGTTTGTGCTAGAAATAATTAAGCCAGATAAGGATATTTATCCTAGAAATAACCACAATTAAAAAAGTGATAATAAAAAAAAAAAAATCAAAATAAGCCTAAACCATTCAACACCCATTAAGGTAAAAGAAAGTAAATAAATTCAGCCAATTGGTTATTTCCATACGGGTAGATTTCTTTAAATAGTAATGAAATCATTGCTAAAAAAATCCATTGTTATTAAAATAAAAAACTTGGCTCAGCCTACCAAAATTAGATTTGTAAGTTGCTGGTCATTCCCATAATTAAATCTGTGTCACAAATTTGCAAGAAAAATGGACACTATGACTAATGCATTTACTTGCTGCACTAGTGCTGTCAGGCTGTGTAAATCATTATGCCTGCTAAAGTAGAGTAGATAAGAATTCCATACATTTTCATTAACCAACTAGGCTTTGTGTATATGTGAGAAGCTAACTTTCATATTCCCTGCTAGTTTTAGCTTTCATTGGAAGACAACATAAACACTAGCCTGGATTTGATTAGCCAAGTGGCAGCTCCAAAAATTATTTGGGTTTTTAAACAATATAAACCAGCTATGTCCTCTGTAAGATGGTAAGGTAAAACAACAAAACCATATATATTTAGTTTGGACAAAGGAGATTAATGAAATGATGGGCACCTCGAATAGTATCCTTCTTTCAGACTGACTTACGTAGCCTGGAAACACGCCTTATTTCATCCCATAGGTTTCAACAGAGGAAGCAAAACTAATCCAAGACAGCATCGGAAGAAGTCTCAACGTCTCAACCAACACTTTCATTTTCAGCTGCCCTTTGCTCTGTTTTCTCAGGAGTGCAGTGGTCACCAGAACAGAGTCCTTTGAATTCTTTCTTTTCCTCTTGATTTCCTGTCACCACAGACCTTCAGATCTTGGTTACAGTTCTTTGTTTAAGGTGAAGCTGATGGCTGTTCCTTTCACATTTACTGTTCATAACCCCAAGGCACCAAAGAATCAGACAACATTGACTCACATCGCAAGCTGGCTACTCTCATGGGTTTCCAAGCCCACTGTCTCAAGCGGAAAGGAGATTAATGACAGGTAGAAATAGATTAGACAAGACTGCTTCTAGTCTAGCAGTGCAGGTTATCTTGTGAGAACATCTTCTTCTAGACTTTAGGCCCTCTCCTTCCATGCACATGGTATTATATTGTCACTGCAAATTGAGTTTAGCTCTCAACTGAGTATGTGTCTCCACTTCAGTGCAAGAAAAATCTCAATGACAGGCTATGTCTTGGGGAACTTAAGTCAAAGTAGCTGAGCCACCTAGGCAAACACCATGGAACAACCATCAGCACAACATATTTTGCAGCATCCTGCCTATTGCTCTGCACTTTAGACATTAACAAGCATTATTTTTCTATTGCAGCACAACTTTTAGAATAGAAATGCTTAGAAAGTATGGTAATGCATATGATGTTAAGAATCTCAGCAGGCCCACGCTTAACATCCCAGACAATTTCTTTAGCCTTTAGGTGCAAAAGTATCCTCTCCTGCAAGTGGAAGCAGCTACTTCAGTGCTTTGTATCTCATCAGATCTTAGCATGCATTTGCATGCTTTACAGTAGCAACCTTGCTGATAACCACCCACCCAGTATTAGTAAAACACTATCAGATTTTATTAAAACCCCATTAAGAGGAAAAACTGAAATCACTTATTATGTTCCACAATTATTGTAAAACCAAAGTCTTTAAACGAGGGGAGGAGATAATGATATTACTACCCAACTCAAAGCAATCCTCTGTGGTATGATTCTAAATATTCTCTTGGCTGAAATTTATGTAAATTGAATTCATCTATCATTAGTTATTACTAATCTAGCTACATAAATACACTTTTCTGTAACAATTAGTTCTTTAAAACACTGTGTTTTAATTAGACCTGGAACACTATTAAACTAAGTGTAAATATGTACAGCATAATTCCATGCATTGTTTTGCCTGCATATTTATAGGAATATGGGCTTCGGTGGAGTTTAAAAGGAATTACTTTGTGGTTGGTTGATTGGTAGTTTTTTGTAAATCTCCTTACCAGATGCTTAATCTAAGTGTATTTCTGCTCATCAAGACCTATTTGGCATTTCTATATTTTGCGTTATCACAATGTGTTCCTTTTCATCTGAATAAGTTCACCTCAGGATCATTCTAACATTATGCTGAGTCTTTTCCTGCAGACATTTTGTGTGCACAGTTTATTTTACTTTAACTTCTCAAGGACTATTTCCCAGTCTTAAAAAAAAAGGGGGGGGGCAAAGAAAGGGTTAAAAGCACAGCACATCTTTCAGCCCTTTTAAATCAGCTTGCTTCACATTACCATACACAGGCACTGCCCCACAGGGCATAGTCTGAGGACAACATACTGTCCTCCTGGCTTTGTCAGGGCTACACACAAGTGCAGCAACCCACCCATGTGCTGTAAGACAAGGAACGTAAGAAAAACTGCAGCCTTGCCAATGGTCAGATCCTTCCAAATTATCTCCAGGACACGTATATGGTTATGGTCACAAAGGTATATAACTACATCTAAGCCTATGCACAGACAGCACATCAGGCGCTAATAAGAAAAATTCGAGTGTGATTTAGATTCATCATGAATTAAAGATATAGGAAATAGGATCTTCACCTACATCCAAGCCCAGAAGTTAGGCATCAATAAAAACTGATGATTTTCCAAAAACACCAACCAGCACCTTCCATTACCTTCTCAGAAACAGGCCAATTATCTTCCTATAGAAGAACAGTTTTGACTTCAAACAAGTGTGTATGTGTATATCTATCTATCTATCTTACACTAGGTTTCATGGAAATCTTTAAAATAAGTGACCACATGCTAGTGACATTCAGGAGCCACGTAATTAAAGGTCATGTAGACCTACAACACTGAAACTGGTAAACAACTCTGGCTACTTAGTATAGTCCCTGGCTTACTGTCACCCCATTGCATTTTCAGTAATAAGGTTAATCCTAGCAACTTCATAACTGGAAAAGTTTGTAAGAGCAAAGCTTTCAGTAAACATATTTGTGATTTATTTTCTGTCATACATACATACTCCCTACATAATCATGATTTCAAACTAGGATACCACAATAACCATCTAAGTGTATGTATATATTCGGGACTTAATAGTGGCCACTTTCTTTATAAGTTTTTTAAAAAAATCAGTAATTAGAAAAAAAAAAACAGTTGGTTCTGTGGTTTGATTCTATCTGTTCTTTAATATTTTTGAAAAGTCTTTCCTGGGAATTTTTTTAAAAAGAATGTTTACTGCAATGCTGCTCCAAGATTTCAAAAAAAATCTGAAATGAATAAAAAGTGAAATGGAACTTTCCAATGATCAGTTCATGGAACTAAGTTCTAAACCAAAATCAGGAGTATTACATGAACACACAAGCTCAGCTTTTTTAACGGACATTTCTTCACAGAGCTATCAACAGCTTCTAGAAATGAAAACATGTTTATATTGCTTTACTAGGAGCTGGCATTGCAGTCAGATGCTCTGGGGCCTAAATTCTTATTTGAAGTCAAAAGACATTCTCCTAATGACAGCTGAACTGAGGCCTTTGGGTATTCACAGAAACCTCCTGAACTGAAAGGTAGGGACAGCAGAGAAACTGGAGCTCGTGCCAAGCAACAAGAGAAAATGCCCCATACATACACAGACCTGAGAGTTGCTTTAACACTGGGATTCTACAATCTGTGGCAGAAAGTACCTTTTTCCCGTTGGAGGAGGACATGATAGGTGACCAAAAGGAGCACATATTTTGGAATTGATATTTTTAAAACATGTATGGTCATCTATACCCAGAAAACTTAACATCCACCCTCCTAACTTTAACCTAGTCCCTCAAAAAAGCAGCAGCACAATGTGTAACTTCAAAATGCCACACAACTTTCTCTTGGCAGTACAGCTTTACATACTTAAACTTCCAAACTCCAGCTTTTCATAAAACAAATATGCATAAAGTGAGTTATTTCGTACTTGCAGTTTTGATTTTAATTTCCTAGTTTGAATTCTTTTTTTATTCAGTCATTTTATACATCACAGTCCTCCTTCTGGGGACACAAGATTGGAATCGCACAAAGAAGTTTGCACAGATTGTGTACAAATTTTAGTAAAGAAGAATAAATTCAATTATTAGCTGCCTAAATAAATAAAACAACCAGTCACAGCAGCTTGCCTGCATATAAAATAATTTGTATTTAATATTCATTAATGTCTCTCTAAACAACATATCAATAAAAGAAATCTATTCTTCATTTCTTCAGATATATTTATTAATTCAGTGTTCTTTACAGTGTCCCTTCTGAATCTTTGTAGACCATTAGGCCCACAAATACTGGTTTTGCTTTTTACAGAAACGGTTATATTTCCAGCTGGATTGATTGCTTTCCCATATCTAGCTATTTTAGTGTGTCCCTCAGAGACATTGAGTGGCTTCACTGACAGTGAAATATGCTAAACAAATGACATGTCACCGAGTAAATTAGCATCTACTCTCTGATCAGCTGGGTCATGTTTTCTTTTCAAAATCCATGGCCTCTTGATAGAAAATAATGAGTATTTGATGGACCTTATTAGAAAAATCAATATATTGATGCCCATGTCTGAAACATCTGCATAATAATAGATTCTTTTAACCCATTAAGGAGAAAATTAAGATGTGTTTACACATTATTAATTTACTATGAGCAGGGACAATTTATTCACTACTTTTCTCAAGAGTTTAACAAAAAGAAAAGAAATGGTAGTATCAGTATTTAATGGCATGGTGACACAAACTGAAAGATGATTCAAATTTTTGCCAGCTAAATGGCACAATCCTACCAACATTATTGTGAAAAATACGAACATACCAATGATACTGTTAAAAATAAGACTGTTAAAGCAACTTGCTATAAATACTGCATTACTTACCAAAAAACTTCCAAAAGCAGAATTAAATATAGCAGCTGCCTGAAGAGAGAAAAAGATAAATATCACCAATGGTAAAATAGCTATAGTACAAGAATAAAATGTTATTCCCCCGCCCAACAAGCTATTAGGTACACACATATACAGAGACCATTAGGCAGTTAGCCACTGCTTAAAAAATTGCCAGTGGCCTGTAACTTATGAAGACTGATAGGTTCTAGTTTGTGCATTCATAAATAATGTGCTGAAACGGACAAAAGCAGGAAAAGAAAATGTTTGCTGGTAGACTTGGGAAGAATATCCAGATGAACCAAGAATATTACACAGAAGCTTGGTCTTACTGCTTTTGCTATAATTTGCCAGGAACATTTTTACATATTGACCTATTAATTAAAATAAATATAATCCGAATTAACAAAAACACTGCATTTTCATAGACTTCTAACAATTTTAAATGGAATATTAATGAGGCAAGCAAACAAATTTAATTGTTCATCATAATAAAGTATTGACAAATTCAGAAATTCCTGTAGTTTGACCAACAAATTTAAAACAGGAACAACAAAAAACCCAACAACAACAACAACAAAATCACAACCATCCCACACTTCTGAGGCCAAAATGTCTAATCATTATTTTTTACTCTAGTCTTTTAAACCAAGAAAATAAACAACTTTGATGATGACTTTAGAAGTGTTTGTGCTTACCTAAATATCCAGGAAATACAAGGTAGCAGTATTATTTCTTAATATTAACTCATTAAGTTCCAGGAAGTTAAAACTTGAGTCTTGAATAGTTTTCCCCAATTACCAAGAAAGAACAGAAACTCTTGTATGGCAGCCAGTCTGATGATAAAAAGCCACACAGCAAAAGCAAGAGGAAAAGGAGGAGGGATATCTACCATTTACAGGAAGATTTAGAGCAGAGTCAAATTAATCACCCTGGACACTTCCAGCCACAGATTAATAACAAGTGGATGCTCGTGAGTTTAGCAAGTTTGAATAAAGTCCAAAATCAGGGTAGAAGCTGTAGCTGAACCTGCCTTCTGCTCCATAAGAGGATGCAATGAAAATGAATGGGTAATGAGATCCTTGGCTCTAGAGAGCTTAGCTTTCTTATTCAAGTTCATAATTAATTCAAAGCTTTGATAATTTCATTAGATTCCTCCTCTCCTGGCCCTATCAATAAAAGATGGCACTGGACCGCAGCTCCTCAGTGGCCCAAATGCAAAAACAAATGCAGACTGAGAAACCTTTGCTGACTTGCTTACTAACGGGGACAATAGCATATGGCACTCCATGTTGCGGAGGGAGCATCTGAATAGATACAGCTAAATAAAACATTATAGTTGACAGTTGTAAACTACAGTAACATATTTTAACACCTCTTCCTCATCAGCATTCCTTTTTTGAACATAAAAAAAAGAGGCACAAGTCCAAACAGCTCCTCTTGCAAGAGATCACAGCTGAAAGCAAGAGTGAGTACTACTAAAACCAATTCTTCAACAAGTGTGAATTAAATCAGGATTTTCTACTTGTATTTGAAGCTGTGCAGCTGATACTTTCATGTGTTGAGAGAGACATGTTACATCCGTGCACACAAACCTACTGCAAGGGATCAGCTTCAACACAGGAGATGTCCTTGCGGGTATCTTTTGTTAATATAACCCTCTTAAAGTTCCTATTATCATTGTATTAAAAAAAAAAAAAAAAAACAAAAACAAAAAACAGGTTTATCAAGCCTCCTTGGTATTTGTTGGACATGTGCCATTCTTTTACACAGACTGACTGTATTTGACCACTTCAATCTGATAAAGACGCAGAAAGGCTCCTTTTATTACATCCTACCTCTGAATCCATGAAGGAGGATTGAGACTTACAGTTTGAAGCACACTTAAAGATCTCTTCCTTGCAAAACAGTCTTTGCTATATAAAACAGTGTAAATCAGCTGTTAGGATCTGAAAGACAGAAGCATCTGGGCTCCACTTCCGCACCAGAAGGCTGGGAACTTAATGGTCCCCTCCTCCCCATGCAAATGTTGTGTGCAGAGTGACAGCTACGTTTCTGTCTCCTACAAAGAAACCGTATCACCCACCCTCTTCAGGAAAGCTGCTGAAGTCCACATAAACTGGACAGAGAGTATAAAACCTGGCCCTTCCCTCCCCAACATGCTAAACTTAACCCGCCCATCTCAAAAATAGCTAGTCCTACCAAAAGCTGAGCTCAGGCCAGGCTCTGCTTACAGCACAGGTGAGCCTGCCAGACCACATCTACTGATGCAAGAGAAGTAACTTTACTGCTAGACAGCCCTCAACAGTTTTCCTGGTCATTGCAACAATGCACAAAGAATAAAGCAGCAGCTGGCAAGAACTGATACACTTAGAAGGACACTGTGCATCTGGTTTTAGCCACATCAGTGGCTACTGATCCTGATTTGAGGATCATCTAGAGACATAATTTTTTTTTTTTTTTTTACTTAAGATATGCTGCAATTCCACTTCCAGGAGACATTCTGTACCTGGAAAGGTTGTAAGGAGACATATGAGATGGTTCTGTGGTGGTGATACTAGATGGTGACATTTTGGCCATCAACAAACTTCTTTTCTTTCTTCCTTCCTGATTTACCCAGAAGATTGCTGGGGTTTTTTTTAATATTCTCAAGCATATAACAGGTACTAAGACAACAATCTTTGACAAATTTTATGCTTCAGGTATTCAGCCAGTCATGTGCAAAAGTCCTAATTCACAACTGGTCCAGGGGTACATTAGTTTGCAACTTCTCATTACCTTTCTCCAAAGTGTCAGAAATTGCCCATGGCAGATGATTAAACACTCATTACAGGCAAAAGAAGAAAAAAAAAAAATCAGGAAGACCACAAACTAAGTTATAATCACTCAAATGATTTGCCTCAGCAAGGGAGGACTTACACAGTTACTCTGTTTGCAGTTTTCTTTATAAACATTTCTCCTGCAAAATAAACTCAGAAGTAAATTTTTCTCATACCCACAAACCTGGGTCTTATATTCAGGACTCTGGTCCAGCTTAAACAAACCGGTAGTAAACGGAATCAACTGCTCCAATTTGTAATTAAACATACCTAGTAGCATGACCCTGTAGAATTTAAAAGACTTTGTGCTTCCAACTCCCTTCTATCAAGAGGGATAATATTGCCTACATACCTCACAGGGCATTGTCAAAATTAATTCATTGCTTAAAAAGCACTCTGAGATCCTTAGAGGGATGATACAAATAAACATTACTGCTGACACATGATCCAGCTAGGCTCTTCATTTTCTATTTGAAACATTTATTAGTAACTATTATTGTATAAATTTTTTTAGTGTTTGCTCCTTTTGTGCTTCAACAGATATCACACTATCTGCAGTCAGCCTAAATGAAACAATAAAACCTGAAAACATTTAGATGTCCTTATAATATTCCAAGTTCAGATTTGCATGTGTTTGCAAACCATTCATTGCACTTACCATTAATATGATGGGAGAGTTCTCTACAAAATCAATGGTAAGATCCTTTCAAAAGGTACATGCATAGCCATGTATTGAAATGCAAGGTCAGACCACATTCAAAAGCAGGAGTAGTAACAACCAGACAAATTATTCAAGTTTACATCAACTCAGAGACAAGACTGAAAGTTACTGCCAATACGCTTAACAGGGCTAGTACAGAAGAGCATGTACATCTCCACTTGAATTTAAACTAGTACACACTAGCCCCACTAAACAACACATTTACTTAATGTTAAGCAGGTATAGTTTCAGTCAACTCTGTGTGGCACTGGGCCTGAGGGAACTCTCTCACCGGTCTGCATTTCCAGAGAGGACCAGCTGGCCTGGGCACTTTCAAGTGAGAAGTAACCAGCCCACCTCTGAAGGAAAACTATCTGGCAGTACTTGGCAGAAACTTTCCTCTTCCTGTACCTCAGCCTAGCCCAAAGCTTCAGTCCTTCACCTCCCACCTTATCCTGGAATATACGTATGAAAAACACCGCTAAGGTTTGTAACAGCGACAGCAGGAAGATAGAGGACAGTTCTCATATCAACAAAAGCTAGTGAAGAGCAGGAGAAAAAGGCAAAGCCACAGCCAAGGGGCTGAGCACCTCCCCACGAGTGGGTACCCAAATGCAGCAGCAAGTACACACAGCAAGTACATGTGAGTGGGCAGCAAATCAAACAAGCATGCTAAGGTCTTGACAGCATTAAATACAGAACACATTCTGAACTCTCTTCCATTTTCTTTTACTTTGGCATCAAACTAAACTATCTTGGAATTTATTAGACTAGATATCTTTTGATAATAATGTAACAGGCCTACATTAAAGAAGAGGAAAAGATACACTGGCAAGATTTGGAACATCTGGGTCAAAACCTAACATTTTATCATTATCGACAGGATTCGAATAAAATTGTTATGCATAACTCAGCTGGAACTACAATTTCCTTTACTGCACAGTCACAGGGAAACAATGGTGCCTCATAGCTTTATATGTGGACCATATAAAAAATTAAAAGGCTTTTTCACCAATAGGTGTGTATTTTTTTTTAAACACTAAAACATTTGATTCTTAAGTGTCATTTGGCAGCCTTTAGGGAGGTAATGTTCCTAACTGTACTCAACCCCATGCTTACACCCAGGCACCCCACAGCTGAGAGAACACGTTATGCACACTAAGACCTGTCTGGCCCCGAGTCATCCCCACTCTGTGGAACGATGTTCCAGGGGCAAGGCCACAGATGCAGAGTAATGAAACTAAACGGCCTCAAAACATCTCAGAAGGAAGCGGCCTGGGCATCATACAAAGCTGCTCTGCGTATGTCCACAGTTACCTGCAATTAAAACCTTATCATTTTCAGACATGCGCTAGTGGGACATACAGCTCAAGTACCAGGTGTAAGACTAAATACCCTATTTAACACACATGGCACGATGAAGAAGAGAGAAAAATCCAGAGGAGTAGAAAAGAACTGGAGAAAGACAAGAACTCTAGCAGTACTACTGCAGAATTATGCAGTAGAGGACAGAG